CTGGAGGACTTTGGGAACTGGGGTTTCAGTCTGGGAAGATTCTTGCTAGAGGTTGTAGCTATTAAACATAGCTGGACTGAATTTGCATGGTCTCTTGGAGTTCCTTGGGCTAGGCCTGACACTCAAAAAGTATTTAAAAAAAAACCCAAAACAGAAAACCATGTTGGCTTATTGTTCTACAGCTTGAACTTGGCAGTAGAGTACATATAAGGTTACTGTAGTATATTATGTGTAGCAACAGAAGCTACTCCAATTTTGTAGTAATAGCAGTACAAAAAGACCCCCCATCTTATAATAAACAGCATCACAAATGCAAGATCATCCCCTTAATTTTTCTGGATGATCAGAGCCTCCAAAGGAGAAACATGGGGGGTGGGGGGAGTTGATTCACAAAACATGACCTGGGAGAGAATAGTAAAAATACAAAACCTATAAATTTATCATGTTATTACTCATGAAATTTGTGATTGTTCTATTACTTTGGTGCCGCTGGCCTAGATCACATACCAGCCTCGGCATCTTTGAGTATTATGTGACCAAAATAATCCTAATATTAGTACTCCCTTTCTCTGTCCTGAGAGATCCAGGTTAAGAGAACACTATTGTTCAAATAGACGTTGAGGCCTCTTTTCTCCGATGGAAAGCAGAACAAAGGGTAATGTCCATTTACCACTTTCCTTGGAGAAAGGAAGTAATGCATTGTTTAGTTCTTTGCGTGGAAACCCCCCCCCCCCAAAATGAGGCAGATAGCATCTGGAGCTGAGAGAGCTACACAAGAAGTCACAAGCAGTCCTGACTCCATTCAGCTCTCAGATTGTGCCTGCACCAGTCTCTTCCATGGGTTCAGTGTTTCTTGACATATTCTTGCTTTTGCCAATAGCTTGGCTTCTGTCTTTCAGAAGCTGAGAGAATGGTACAAAGGCATGCAATATCTTTACAACTCTGAAGCTTAGGAGATTTGGGCCTGGCTGTGGTTCTCGTAGAAAATCACCTGGGAATCGTAAACATCTCGGGGGCCGGGGCGGGCGGAGGACTATCCTTTCTGTGCTGGCTTCCAAAAATTGAGATCAGCCACTGAAAAGAATTTTAATATGCTGTTCTCAGCTTTAAATCACTGGAGAAAATTGATGGCTTAGATGTGATAGTAATTTAGGCAGCATCAGAGTGTACGCAGTGTTTTACAGAGCTGACTAAATAAAACACAGTTAAATTCCTTTTCCTCTCACTGCAAAAGAGCTCCCAGCCTAAAATGGACAACAAAGAACACAGCAGACAGAAAGGAGAGATGAAAATAGCAAAAGGATGACTGTAGGGCTTGGGTTTCCCCTATGAAAATAGTTAAGTATTGGATAAAGCCCTCTGTTCTTCCTAACCCTACCTTCTGTGATTGTTGCAAAGATAGGGATTTCTACGAAGCCACTTGGAGCCCTTTTGAGAAGGTGAAGGGTACAAATGGAATTAGATACATATAAAATTCTTCTAGTATATTCAGCATAATTTCTGCAGCTGTAAAAGAAGACTTTCTTATCCATATCTCCCCCTAGTGTTACATATTTTGTTTTAAATGAGAACATAACATGTACAGTGGTGCCTTTCTGTTGAAATACAGTCTTGCCCAAATACTGGGCTCAGATGCATGGTGACCAATTGCAACTCTCGCAGGGGCAGAGGCTCTTATCCTCAGTGTAGGCCGCAATGTGCAGTGGGCGCTCAGTATGTTTCTTTTTCAGGTGGAAGAGATAAACGTGGAGGCCCCATTCTAACATTTCCAGCTCGAAGCAATCATGACAGAATACGACAAGAGGACCTTAGGAGGCTCATTTCATACCTGGCGTGTATTCCTAGGTAAGGGCACCGTTTGTGTATTACGGCTTGAAGCTGTGTGTCACTATAACAAGACAAAGTCATTTACAGGGGCTATATTTTGAGGGCACCTGACTGGGAAGGTTGTTTAATTCTTTCATTCTGCCAGTTATGTAATTACAAGGAAAGCTTGTCCAGGAAGGAAGGAAAGTACCAGAGGGAAGGGGCGTGGACAAAATCAGAGCTAGCTTTTGAGGAGCATTACTGTGATTTTACCCAGTCATTTCATTTAGGTATTTGGCAAATGGTAATTCTTAAAAGCATTTTAACCCCAGATTTTATTAGATGAAGGCTTACAGGGAGCTTACCTTGTGATCCTCAAAGTACTAGTTGCAGAGAAGCCCCCCTGAAATGGTATTAAGCATGGTACTGAAGGAGTGCTTTTCTGAAATTGTTCACTTTTGAAATGACTGTTTTCTGTAATAATTTGCAGAGCCTCAGAGCTTTTCAAAAGTTTCAGCGCAGGTCAGATTTTAGGCACTGCTAGTATCTGACTAGAAGAACCAAGCCTGCTCAGCAAAATAATGAGGAAAAAAATGAAAAAGTCAGATGGGATATATGGCAGAAAATGGAGCCAGGATAGTGTGGGGGAGGCTTTTCCACACAGCCAAGAACATGTGGCTCTGGTTGCAAACACTACTAATTGTAGCATATAATGAGGAATTGCAACAGTATGTTAAGGATCTCCAGTCCCAAAGAAAAAGGAAATAGGGTTGAAAATGCCAACGTGTTTGTGAACGCAGATCATGGGATTAGTTACTTCCACAGGACCCATAGCTACATAGTGAAAATTATGAAAGCCAATAGGCCGTTCTCAGGCTGTTGGGGGCTTGGCATTGGGAATCATATAAAGGATATTACATAAAACATGTCACATAAAAAGTGTAACATAATAAATGCTGTCCACCTGCTCCCTTTGTCTACGGCAAAAATTGAATCTATACTGCCAGTTTCATGTGAAAACGAATCCAAAACTCTGAGATGCTTTGCGTGGTTCTTTCTTCAGTGCATGGCTAGGTCAGCCATAGTGGTAAACTATGTATTTTAAGGGGACCTAACCTAATTGATGTAAGCTGGTTGCCTGGGTCAGACCTCAGGAAACCACCATCAGCTGCTTAATACATAAATATTATTGTGCAGAGCAGCAAACAAGCAAGTGACAGACTTTTGAATGTTAAAGTCAGGAAAATAGCTACTCAGCTTGGTTCTTGATCATTTTTTTGTGTTGTTATCCTGCTTATCTTAAAAGATAATTAGATGCAAGTCTGTGTAGGTGTGTGTGTGTAAAGTATTTAGTTTAGGGCTGGCCTGCCAATATTAACCATGCTGGATAAAAATCTTAACTTTTTAAAAAACCTGGCTAGACATAATCCTTCCAGAGGTAAAACTCCTAATAAGTAGACAGATGAAAACATCAACCGAACTGGCAGATAAATTACCAAGTTTGTACTTGTAATACAGCTTGCCTTTTTAATTGCTGTTTTATTTCCTTTCTAGTGAAGACGTGTGCAAGCGAGGTTTCACAGTAATTGTAGATATGCGTGGATCAAAATGGGACTCTATTAAGCCACTTTTGAAGATCCTACAAGAATCCTTTCCATGTTGCATTCACGTTGCACTGATAATCAAGCCAGATAACTTTTGGCAGAAACAGCGAACTAATTTTGGCAGCTCCAAGTTTGAATTTGAGGTAACGTATTGCAACAGAGTGGGATTTATTTTTTACAATATTGGGTAGACCAAGTAAAGGGAAACCTGCCTTTTGACCTTCGTTTACAGACATTTATATATTTAATATTTGAACTTGTTTAAAAAGAAAATCTCCATTGCTGGACCATGGGGGGAAATTACAGAGCAAGTCAGTTATATTTAGAGTAAGGGTGTGAGAAAAGGTTGTATCCTTACTATGTCTTTAAGCAGTCTTTAAATATACACCTCCTTCTGGGATAGAAGAATACAGCTAGAAAATACAGAAATGCCAGTCATGACCCAGCTTGGCTGGAAGCACTGCCTCTGCTCGCTAATGAGGAACCATGCTGATAATGATGCCCATCTGCTATTCAGACATGGAAGAGAGCTAGTAAATTCGGGCAACATGGCATAATCCTTCATAACTCACATGCCATTCATAACAACATCACAATCCTCCTAATTTATTACTCTAATTAATGCAGCCAGCAGCTCTTCTATCCCCAGTTCTGAAGCATCCTTGTAGGCAAGGTGGTATATTTCTTTAGGTTTCTGAAACTACTTTTTGGGAGTAACTCATACCAACAGGAGGAAGATTCACCAGTAATAGGAACCATACAGCTAGTAATAGTAATTCATAGGAACCCTTAGGCCTAGTAATAAGCTCACCCTTTTGGCTAGTATCTAACCAGCTGTGTTGTCTATTTTGCATCTCATCCCATCGTCCATAACCATCCTTCCTAACCCCTTGCTACCCCTGCAAACTCTCCTGTACACTCTGGCTGCAGAGTCTACCCCATGTATATCTTGAAAAACTAACCTAGTGAGAAGAGAGTGCAGGAGCACAGCCTCTAAGCCTGTCAAGCTCCCTGCTGCTTCTTTCAGGATTTTACTTAAAGGCCAACTGAAGCCAGATCATACCAGAATATAAGAAGTAAGTTCCTTATTACTAAAGAGTCACAGTATATGGTGCATCATATTATGTCACCTGGAAGAAGGAGATTCTGAAAGGCCTAGACATATATAGGGTTGCAAGTGGTGATCCTCTGGATTCCTCCTCTACCTTGGTCAGTGGCACTTGGCATTGGCTGTGTGTTAGGAATGAAATCTCCTGTTGCAAAACTATGTGTTGAGTTGGTAAGGAAACAGTAATCTTGTCCCATTGCATGTTGCTGAATGCCCTTGGGGATGGAATAGTGCAGAGTATCCCGGGCACTGCTGCTGCTGATAGATAGATCTTCTTTATGACTTTCATGAAATGAGCTGTAATAGGGATGACCAGCTTCTGCAGAACAAATATTTCACAGCAGGCAAACTAACAAGCAGCAGCTAGGAACATGCAGTTGGTAGTAGAATATAAGAGAAGCAAGAGCAGTGCTTTATGGTGGCCCAGTCCATGCCTTCCTCCACCCCATCCCCAGTGAATATTCTTACCTTGCAGTGACTTGGATTGCACTGGCATCTCTCCTTCCCTTACATTACTTCACCAAAGGGAGCTGGAGCATGCCCACTCTGCCAGATCTGGTGGGACAGGCACAACCTGGTCCCATGCCATGCAGGGCTTCAACGGTGAAAGCTAGCATCTTGAATTGAACCCAGAAGCCATATCACAGAGTGCCCACTACTGCACATGCTACTGCATTCTGGGTCATCTGAAAATTCCAAATGTTTTTCAAAGGCAGCCCCATGTGAATGCTTTGCAACAGTCCAGTTGGGAGGTGACTAAGACATGAGTAAGTCTTAAGTAAGTAAGTAAGGTGACTAAGACATAAGCAGTGCCTCCCAATCTAGGGACAGGTGCAACTGGTGGACAAGGTTTATTTGTGCAAAGGTTCTCCTGGCCATGACTGCCACCTGCTGCTTGAGCAGGACCCATGAATCCAGGAGGACTTTCAGATTGCACACCAACTCTTCCGGGGGCGTTTAACCCCATCGAGGGTTAAGAAAGGAAACTCACTAGACCCCAGGGGGCGGGGGCTAAACCACCACCCGATCAGTCTTGTCAGGGTTGAACCAAAGCCAGTTCTTCCCCATCCAGGCCTGTATAGCCTCTAGGCACAGTACAATACATTGACCAGATCATTTGGAGATGTATAACTGAGTATCATTACCATACATGCCAATAGATGACCTCACCCACTGCTTTTATATATGTCTTAAATAGGAGTGGGGAGAAAATTAAACACTGTAGCACCCCGCAAAACAGAGGCCGAGGGCTGGATCCCATCCTCACCCCCAACTGGAACCAGCCCCTGATGAAGGAGAACTGCTGACAGTCTATGCCTCCCACTCCCAGCCCCCTTAACCAGCCCAGAAGGTTTCCATGAGTGATGGTAGTGAAAGCCGTTGAGAGATCAAGGAGGGCCAGGATGGATACACTGCACCCATCCTGAGCCCATCTTGGTACTATTTTATTTTTTTTTATTTTTTTTTAT